CATTGACAGCATTCTGTAATGATGTTACAGAAATTATCAATACACATTTGAATTTTGTTATTATTATTATTATTATTATTTTATTTTTTTTTAAGTGTCTGGGTAACAAACCTCAACGTGCAGCCTTAAATCTTAAAGATCGCATCTGACCAATGTGTTAAACACCAGAGAAGTTGTTTAATTGAGCTATATCTAAAATATTTAGTAGATAATAATGCAGAGGATATATCCTTTGATGTATTGGACGTGACTGTAGATTATTCCTGTGATTTCTGTAGTAAGCAGGGAAACGATATTGGATTTAAATAAAATTCCATATAGAGGGGAAATTAATCCAATTAATCCATTATACAGTGGAAGTATAATGATGTAATTGACATATCTGCAATGAGCCTATTAATATTATTGGGGAAGTTCCATATACATAAGACGAAGATTATTATTAAATTATTATTTTATAAATGACTTTATACAATACAGAAGTGTTTTATATATAAATGTATATTATTTCTATGTTATAAAATTGAAGGCCACCTTGTGTTTTATTTTATTAGAATCTAGCACCTTATTATTTTTTTCTAATTACTGATTACATCCAATTTAACTAATTATACTTTTTTTTTTTTTTTCATTATATAATAGAAACATTTCGGTTACACTTTACTTGAAGGGGTGTGCATAAGACTGACATGACAAAATAAAATCGGCTTATACATCACTTTAAAAGATTTAAAAAGGTCGATCTAATCACACCCATTTTTAAAGGCAAGAACTGCACTGATTCAGCATTCCGTTTTTAATTAACATGTTATGAGCTTAAAAAACTGACTTAAGAGTGTATGTTGAGTCTATATTATAAAAACATCCATATACAAACAATGTCATCTTTGCATTAAAAATTACATAACTGAGCGAATGACACTTAATGACAGTTGTCATAAACATGCATAAAACCTCCTTCATATTCATGACGTGTCATGTCATGATTATGAAGGTGTCATGTCAGTCTTATGCACACCCCTTCAAGTAAAGTGTTCTCTATTGTTGTTTATTTTCATCTGACTATTCGTAGTAAAAAATATATGACCTACAAATGGCGCGCCCCCTGCTGTCTGTGACGAGCAGCAGAGGAGCTTGACCCGGAGGAGAAGCGCCGCATCGGCCATTTTGGGCTCAAAGGGGGCTTTTCTGTCACCACGTGAGGGCTGGGTTAGTTAGTCCGAGACGGGCACTAAATCGAGCCGAGCGAGGACTCAGAGAACAAGGGGGTAAAAATCCAGGAAGACTCTGCCTCACACACCCGCACTCATTTCACATGTGCTGATAGAGAGAGTGTAAAGGATGCCGACAGTCACTCTGCCTCCCAAAGAAAACGCTCTGTTCAAGAGGATCCTGGTGAGTGCTAATGCTTCAGTGCAACAACATCCATCTTCCAAATAAATCCCGCGGTCTGCCGTCATGAGTGTGATAGAGAGCTGTTAATGCAGCACTTTTTAGTGCGTGCAAAACTGAACAATCAAAGAGTCGCTTTCTGTCAAATGGAGGTTAGCTTTTAGCCTGTTAGCTGCTAGCTGTCAGTGTGTTGATGTAGCTTAACATACAGACACAAAGCTGTTCTGTTGGAAAGAGACTGTCAGTGGTTGGATAAAACCATACGAGGCTTGTAGTCTTCGTTTATTTGATTTTAAACGCCATTAGCACTACGTTTATACGGTCATGCTGCTCTGCTGTGAGGCTAAATGTTGCATATAAGTGGCTCAAGTCGGTCTCTGGCCTGTTCATCCAGCAAACCACTCTTAAAGATTCTCAGGTTATTTCTGTACAATTACAATTTTAGTCGAGTTTTGATTTAGTGAGTTTGATTCCAGAGTTGTTTGAGATGATAGGAAGAGATTAACATGTTTGCACGGTTTCTGCTGAAGGAAAACCTGGAAGTTTAGTGATGCTCAACTTCAGAGCTACAAACACTCGACGAGTTTATACACGCCTCATTCACTGTCAAATCGAGCGGTCTTTTCACTCATTATATATGTAATAGTTTAAACTGCTGACTTGATTAAGGATTTTGACAGCCAAGGCTTTTAAAACAAATTACTGTGATTGTGTTAGCTGCATTTTGCCTATATTGTCCATGTTTCTTAAGACTAGGGCTGCACGATAAATCGCATGCGATATTTAATGCGCATCTTGTCAGAAAGCCGGTTCTGTAATCAGCGGTAAATCAAATATCGCATGCGATTTATCGTGCAGCCCTACTTAAGACTAATTTGAAGGACTTTGCATGGCTTTTCTGATTGCAGACCTTTTAAATGTATTAGATTTGGATAAGCCTTGCATATGCAGTCTATTCCATGCATATGTAATGTTGAACTGTACTTATAACAAGACAAGTCTACAAAAACCAATGATGCTCAAATGTTTAAAAAGAGTTTTATGCATTATCACTCTTAGTTCATTTATCTAAATTGCAAAATACAAAACTGCAAAATTTTCGACACGGAAGTAGTAGTTTATCATGTAAAATTCTTTATACTATATAAACGTTTATGCTCAGACAGTATATCTGATCTGTATGATTAATCACATTGTCACCATGAATCCACTGAATAATTTAGCTGAACTTTAAAGTTGTGGTCGACCATTATTGATTTTTTTGATGGCTGATGCTGATATAGGCCAATATATCACACTATTTAACCTTGCTTAAAGTAAATAAAACATGCATCACAATTTCTGCAATTTAATCTATATTAATTCAACATAATATTATGTCAATTTGAAAAAATTCCTACATGAGGTGGATTTCATATTTCTGTGTCATTAGTCAACTTTGACAGATTGTTGAACATTGTTATATCTGAAACTAGGACAGGCAGCTGGATTGTTTTGTTATATATACACATGACTTTAATCTTCAACCTCATGCATGTCCAGCTTTTATCCTGGTAGCTACTTGAAAAGTTGGACTTGTAGTGATAGCCTGTGTATATCTCGAATGCACTGTAAAGGCCAAATCACCCTGCACCGACACTCACCACATTACAGTGTGCAACTTCTCAGACGTCCCAAAACCCGACAAACGCAGATTCAGCATGCCCAATTGGCGAAAACAAGCGCTGCCCATCGGTAACCCGACGTCTGAGACATGCCACGTGTCTGTTACTGTTTTCTGTGTCTGTCGGTGCAGCATGAATTGACCTGAAGTCGCTTTAGAGAAAAGCGTTTGCCAAACACATACATGTAAATATAAATGTAAATGTTTGGTTTGGAATCTGAGAAACTGTGTTACCATGGTTACGGTGTATAAAGACTTTTGATGATTGTGAAGCTGAATGACAGACCCCCTGGAACTACTTGATTTAAAATCTACCACCTTTGCTCATAAGCGCTTTCCTCTCCTGTTAGAGTGTTTTGAGCCAATCATTCTCCTTACATTCATGGTCAATGTAAAAAGATGCTCATTGCTGTCAAAGTGTGTAGTTATGTCATTAACCGGCAGGCACTAATTGGGCTGTGCAGCAAAACCTTGACCTCTCAGTTAAGACTGTCTGAGGGACTCAAGATCATCATCCTGACAGGGAGCCTCAGGCCCCGTCCACATGGAGAAGCGTTTAGCTGTATACGCATACATTTTGTATCGTATAGGCGTTTCGTCCACACGGATCCGGCGTTTTGGGAGAGTGAAACCCATATTTGTTGAAACCGGGTCCCAGAGTGAATAAATCTGAAAACGCCGCCATTGCGTTTTCGTGTGGACAGCGAATCTGTATATTTTCTGAAACGATGACGTCATCAGCCCACGTCTCGCCCCTAGTCAGACACTGCTACGTCACGTAACAGCAACAAAAACATGAACAAACACTGAACGATTGTCTTTTTATTAACTAACATCAACACAGATTAATAAATGTATTGTTCCATGTTCGTTTGTATACCGCACGCAAGGTTTATGTGCATAGTCCAAGTCGTCTTCTTCGTTTTTAGTGCATCTCTGTGGCAGAATTACAGCGCCACATACTGGTCTGGCATGTATACTACATCGTTTT